CTGGAAGAACATTTTGCAGAAAAAAAGCAAAGCAGGAGGGGGAAAAAAAAAAGACCTGGCAAACATCCCCCTGCACGTCTGGGTGCAGTTAACCTACGCTGTTAACACTAAAGGAAATGCCACCCAGTAAATGAAGGAGAGCAATAAAAAATAAAACATCTGTATAAATGTTGCGTGTACTTTCCCTCCATGACCTGTTTGTTGACAAAAGTGACCACTGCTTTTTTAATAAGATCTGCCATCTGGTTTCCTTTAACCCTTTGTGGCCAGCAAACAGCAGCACCGGTGAGCCCGAGCGGGACAACTTATTAAGTCAAGTGCAATCACAGAACGACAGGCATATTCACCCAACCATTATGTCTACAGGCAAGGCTGCAGCATTACAATACAAAAAATAATGAAAAAAAAGATTCCTGGCAAAAGTCCACGCGAGGTCTTTTGAATGAAATGAGAAACAGTGACAGCAGCACAACTCTCTTATTCTTGCCCCCAATGATTTGAAGTATCTGGAGTTAATTAATCGTCTGGAGATGGAATAACAGCATGTCTTCAAGATGTGTCTGGCAACATACATCTCTACTGAACGACCACTAAGAGCAGAGATTCCATTCAAGCCTCTAGTATATAATCCAACACTGTAGCGGTATGTTGTTTTACTAGGAGAAATAATTATGACTTTGTTGCTGGGTGCTTCTATACTCTGTACTGCAACTGCTTTACAATAAACTAAATGCTGCATATATTTGCACCATTTCCATCAGCCCTGCCCCTGTGCAGTTTAGATCTCGAGGTGTAGAACGAGCATGCCCACATGGACCAATTTATGTAGAAGCCTATTTATATACCAGCATCTTTATAAGCAATGAAGGAAATTGAACTGCATTCACACAGACAGAGAGTTCACTCTCCATGCAAAAAGGGTACTGCTGGGATTTGCCCCAAGACCAAATAGTGTCACTGGGCTGCCTGATGTAGGATTGGTTTATCCTATATCAAGTCAAACAAACATTTGAAAATTCATTTGGTGCGAATAGAGGCATAACAAACATTCAAAGTATATTATTTTCGTTCCAAGTCAAATGTCATATCTAGAAAATAGCACATTATGGCTACTGGATAACGCTGAGGTACAAGTATTAATTTCCTAAGCTTCTCAGCTCCATCTAGTGGCCATAATGTGGTATTTACCTGATATTACATTCAGCCTGGAAAGAGAGTATACTGGGCATGCTAGGTGTAGTGGTCAGCACTTCTGCCTAGCAGCATCAGGGGTCCCAGTTTCAAATGCTGGTGAGGGCACTATATGCAAGCAGTTTGCATGTTCTCCCTGTGCTTGTGTGGGTTTCCTACACTCCAAAGACATGCTGGAAGGTTAATTGGCTCCTGTCTATATCAAACCTGTAAGTATGTATGTGAGATAGGGACCTTAGATTGTAAGCTCCTTCAGGGCAGGGACTGTGTGAATGTGCAACTATGTAAAACGCTGTATTGGCGCTATATAAATACCAATAATAAATAAATATACTAAGAACATTTATTTATCACAAGACGAATAGCTCTGCAAAATGTTTATAAGTACACCCCTACGTGCAAGTGCAAGAGGTGGGAGAGGAGTAGGACTACTTACAAAGTTTCCACTCTCTACATGCATGTAGAACTAATGATTTAAGAGCCAACATACAGTATATTACTAAACAGTTGAGCTCATATTATCAGTCACCTGCTTTGGAAACAGAATCACAAAAGTTGCGCATCTTTATTACTAGTTTTTTTTCTCCTGTTTTTGTGTCTTACCCGACTGTGATCAATTGGTTTATCCGAGTTTCCGGTTTGTATTAAAAGTTTATAGGCAAGAACTGCATCGTCCGAACCATTCTCATAATTCGTATTGGTTATTTTCCCAGCCTCCCATTCACTGTCAAACTTATCTTGTAACCCTGTAGAAAGAAAAACAAGCAACAACTGTGAAATTGCAGCACAATGCAAGTCATCTTTAACATTATTATTATCATTTATTATACAGGATTTATATAGCGTCAACAGTTTGTGCAGCGCTTTACAATATAAGGAAGACATAACAATACAAATCAAGACAAGATGGTTAGGTCCAGGGGCGGGCCAGGTGTCACCCGGAGCGCGCCCTCATAGCGCATGCCAGTGACGTTACCACACATGTGCGCGATGACAACATAGCGCATGTGCGGCCATCTTTGTGTTACCTGCTGGCGGCCGCCTTGGTGATGGATGCCGGCAGAGAGAAGAGGGGACGTTCACCTGGCGGGATAAGGTATGCAGCCGGGTCCCTTCCGCTCTCCTGACACTGTCGGGCTCTCGGTCCATGACTGAGTGCGCAACTTTTGAGAAGGGGTGACACCAAAATGTAATTTTGGTGTCGCCCCCCCAATGATGTCACCCGGGTGCGGGCCGCAACCCCTTGTGACGCCACTGGTTAGGAGGGTCCTGCCTGTGAGAGCTTACAATTTAAAACATGAATATTGGTAGAGCATTTTCTGTCCTATTTTCTCTCCAGTTTTTCTCGTGTTACATTGTATCCAATGTTAGGCAGATGGAAGGCACAGGTTTTGTTTCCTTTCCATTTTGTTTCTGTTTTAAAATCATTGTTTCTTGCTAAATGCAATGACCAGTAAAAAAAAGCAAATATAAAAAGGACTGAAGGCTGAATGAAGCTGCAAATGTTTAAAAGATAAAATAAAGACTGATTAGATGGAGTTAAAAAAGCAGCACTGAAATAGCTGGTGGTTTCTTTCAGTCTTTATTTCTGCATTGTATGACTAAAAGCACCTGTATGCACAGAACCTTACTACAAATGAGTGCACAGAGAACCTCAGTTCTCAAGAACATATATATTTTCTATGTTTTATTAAAAGCGAGTGAATGCTATGCAACATTAAAAGCATTTCCTTATACAGGGGGCACACATGAGCATAGCTGGAAAACAAGCAAATAAACAAAAAACATATCGATTTTTAAGATTCTATTACATTATTATAACCGAAATCATAGAAAGACTTCTGATCGCGAGTCAAACCCACAGAAGGATTCTGGATAGGAGACCATGGCAAAGGAATTCCGACCTAGCAATTAACACACATATACAAACAAACAAAAGGTTCTATTTATCCACATTACCCTGACACCTTTGTTCGTGGAGGGGCATCCTTAAGTCCCCCTCTGGTAGGGATGCCTTTAAAGAGTGATGAGAGGATGACAGCTGCACACCAGGAATGCAATAAATGCTATGTTTTACTTCTACATTCCGTGCAGCGAAATGCCTTTATTAGGAAAGCCATTGGCGCTTGCCTATGTGAAAACACTTAAAAGGCCTTCAGCTCCCTTGGGTGTGAAAGTTATTCCTATTACTCTAATGAGCTAGATTAGAAAAATTAAAAGACAAAAAAAAAACAAAAAGAAGAAAAAAGTAGACCTGAACCTTCTTTGCAAACATTCAGTACTGGCTAAGCCCAAAATGGCACAGGTGAATAGTGCGGCCTGTGGACAGGGTCCACATTCTCCAGCACTGATAATCCGTAGCACTGAGCACCTGAATAAAAATGCCCAGAGAAAATAATAACCAGCCTGAGGCAGAAACCTGGCTACTTTTCCTGAACTTTGGGGGTAGGCAACCTCAGAACATCAGCTGTGAAGAAACCACAAATTCCATCATGCCCTGGCCTCTGGGAGTCATGTCTGTGGCTGTCAAAATCTTGCAATGCCTCATGGGACTTGTAGTTCCTCAACAGCTGGAGTGCTGAGGTTGCCTGCCCTTACTGTACATACAGCCAGCAATAGTTATATAATCAGCAGTGCTACAGGCTGTAAACACTGTGTGCATGTGTGTAACACTACATTGGCCATTAGGTACCTATTCATTGTTGTTGGCTATTAAGTCCATTGACGTCCATAGGGCTAGAAATGCTTCAAAAGAAGCCTCTGCACCATTTTCCAAGCAACATGGAAGCAACTTGAATGGGCCCCGTGAAAATGAGACACCTTTTGTCATGCATCAGCCAAACCGTTTCAACTCGCACAAGTGTGAACGGGGACTTAGGGATTCTTTTTCCCAAGATGCAGTTGTTCCTTGAAGATGCAATGCGGTAACCCTTTAGTTTTAGAAAGAGAATATTCTGGCCTCATAACTTGCTATCGATGGGAAGCTTGCGTGTTTCCAGCCTAGCAGACCACAACAAATGAGACTGGGCAAGAACCAACCTAGCAGACCACAACAAATGAGGCTGGGCAAGAACCAGGAGGGAGCCATGCATGCGATATTCATTAACCATACTGAACTACTGTTTGCCAGGTTAAAATAGAAGGTCTGTGACACAGGGAGGCAAGGACTCATAAAAATACTTCAATTTGTTTGTGCTTCAAATAGCATCTCAGCTGCTTCTTGAGCACAGTGTGAGTGAACACGATTTTGTCAATTTGTTCCATCTGTTCAACTTGTGCAGCTAATACAAGATGTGGGATCTGCTGCCAGCATGTGTAAAGATCACAGCCAACATCTATTCACTCTCAACTGCTCCTTTCCTCTGTGCCATCCTGTTAGCAGGAGAGTGAAAGAAGTCTTGGAGTATACGGAGGAAAGGGAATACTTCTCTGTGCACAGTCCCAGGCAGGCAGGTCATTTGGAGCACATTTCTAGCAGAAAGGAGGAGCTCAGTACATGTGAATTTCTCCTCACCAATTTAGGCCATGGCCAAAGAGTCAAAGCACAATGCAATGAGGGCTCTGGGCTATTCAGTAGCCAAAGTGACAACATGTTCAAGTGTATTTAAATCCAAGACCAAAAATGTTTTCCAGTCTTTGGATACAAACGTCCTGTCCCAGGTTGCCAGCCGGGCTGTACTAAAAACACCTTTGTCTTTGCTCATCTCTAGTGAGGATTGGGAGATTAACAGTGTACAAAAGAAAGATGACATTGTAGCTCGCAGGAAGTGACAAGGGCATTTCTTGCAAAATCAACAGGCATTTTCTGTGCTTGCTGAAAATGTTCTTAGCCTGAAAAAAGAAAACTAATGCAACCATCACATCTAAGGATTGGTAAGCAAAAATATATTAAAATATTGTGCTTGGGTTTAGTTATGCTTTATGGTCCCATTAGCCAAGATTGTGACCACACATACTACTACTGTAGTCACCTGGTAAAACACACTGTTAATTATTTCCTGTTTTGAAAGAAACCAGAACTTAGGAATGATGGAGTCTGGCCGCACTAAATTCTCCTTTGTAAGCTGCTTGCTGTCATGCTGATCTGGTGTCTTCAGAGCTTTCAGAGATACTGGATGGCAACTAATGATGTACGAGATGCTTGGTGCGCGATCAGTTAGCCCAAACCGGCACAAAACAGTCACTAACACCTCCCTTCCCTATTCCCAGGCCAATCAATTGTGCCTGGGACATTCCATGCCCTACAGTTACAAATTACAAAGGGGTAGGGACTCCCCTTGACGCAACAGATCTGGCCGTTTGGGAATTGCCAGTTACAGTTTTGATGGGCTTGACTGAACATTTGTAAACTGGGAGCCCCCGCACATTCTTAGTAGTAACAAGTAGGCAGATCAGGAGTTTTGACTTCACAGACTTTGGTGGCCATTTACCTGTTTAAGGTAGGGACTACCTGTTCCCGACAGACAGCAAAGGGGGTCAAATGTCCCTGCCAGTGAGCCCTGTCCTCCCTTTTGCAGGTCCTCCATCCATTATGCTAAAACTGGTAAGTAGAGATGGGGCGGACTTGGTGCAAACTCAGTTAACCTGAGTTTGCCCCAACCCGCTAAAAAATGACAGCCACCCCCTCCTCCTGACCCAATTCATGGTGGCAGTTCCTTACCCCTTTGTGATGTATAGCTGCGGGGCAGGGAATGTGCTTTTCCGCAACTGATTGGGCTGGGAGGAGGGTGTGGAGGTCAGAGTTTTGAGCATGCTTAGGCAACCCCAGGCGAACTGAGTTCGCACCAAGCCCAACCTCATCACTACTGGTAAGCATTAATTTGATGTAATGGTTCTATTACACTTGTGGATGGCACATACCCCCTCCAAACATATCACTGCACTTCAGTCTTACATGAAAAGTTACCATTCACTTTTCCAATATAACAAGTGATTTTTTAGTTAGCAAACATAGCAAATACAATACAAAATAAAAACATAAGCAGGTGATACAATATGTACACAAATTCAGGAGGATTTAAATAAGATGTGCCAGACCAGCAAATCTATGGTAGCTTCAAACGCCCAATCAGATTAAGGCTAGTTACATTTTGAAACCTTTTCCCTTAAAGCCAATGTGCTGTTGGAAGTGAATGCAGGCACAATTGAGTCGAACTCCTTCTGCACTTCGGGTTGGCCAAACATGCTGAGCATGTTCAGCCGACCCGAAGCCATGTGAAGCAAGCCGATGTACGGCTGATCTCAGCCGATGTACGGCTGAAATCAGCCGTACCAGCCTGAAGTGAATAGCCGAACAGTGCTTGGCTCACTTCACTTCAGGTCGGTCATTCACTCGGCTGCCTACGGCAGCTTAGTGAATAGACCCCTTAGTGTCAGCTTTTATCAAACTTCAATAATAAGTAGACGTAAAGAGGTTTCATCAAACTGACCATTGTGGTTGCTGTAGGACTGAAAGGACATTTAATGAACATTGTCACCAATCTAATGTATAAAAAAATCCCGGTAAACCTTATTTCTACTAAAGTAGGGCTGGCTGCTTTCTAAGCACTTGCGGTAATTACCTAACAGCTGCAGAAGGAATCAGAATACTGTTTCCCAGATGGAAAGCAGGGAGCCCAGCAGATGAAAAGATATAGCATTGAAAACAAATATAAAATTACAATCAGAGCACAAAAAGAGGAATCTGTTGGAAAAGAGATGTTATCATTTTTAAAGAATGCAATTACACCGCTACAGTTGCTTTAACTGAGTTTAGTCTGATTTGCTCTCTTTCTTTTTGTTTTATTTAACCTATTGCTGATTTTTCTTTGCATTGCAAAGTTTCCCAGCAGAGAAAGGCCTAAAACAATAAGACTAGTAAAAACTTGTGCAACCCTACAAACAACTGCTAACCCTACCCACTGGAGAATGTGACCAGAAATGCAATGCCACCCAGGTCTAACTAGCCACAAAACCACAACTGACACAAACACACAGTCCTCTCCATGAATAACCAACAAAGGCTGAAGTACTCATCAAAATATGAATCAAACCACAGCTATTACACATCATCTCAACTTCTCTATTACACACCGTCTATTCACTTCTAGATCAAATGCTTTGCCTTTCCTAAGTAATCTGCACTGAATGTTTGATTCACAATTCAGTAGTTTGGAGTGGTCATGTGTAGGGTAGTTAATGCTACTGCTTACGAACTCTGTGTTCCAGGTTTGAATCCTTCCAGGGACACTACCTGCTGGGAGCTTGTATTTGGTTTCTTCCTAAAAACATACCAGTGGATTCCTTTGAGATTCACCAGACTGACCCTTAATTGACAGTAGTTAACATATTAGCCTAAAGTCAGTATATGTAATGCTAAAGAAGGCACTCAGGCTGCAGACATACTACAGGTGATGACCAGAGACTGCAGACATCAGATGGTTAGGTACCGCAGGCATGGGATAGTTAGGGACTGCAGTCATAAGATGGGTAGAGACTGCAAACAAGAGATGAGTAGGGAATGGGGACATGGGATGATTAGGGGACTGCAGACATGGGATGGTTAAGGACTGCAGACAAGAGATGGGTAGGCACTGCAGACATGGGATGGTTAGGAACTGCAGACATGGGATGGTTAGGGAACTGCAGACATGGGATGGTTAGGGAACTGCAGACATGGGATGATTAGGGGACTGCAGACATGGGATGGTTAGGGAACTACAGACATGGGATGATTAGGGGACTGCAGTCATAAGATGGGTAGAGACTGCAAACAAGAGATGGGTAGGGAATGCGGACATGGGATGGTTAGGGAACTGCAGACATGGGATGGTTAGGGACTGCAACCAAGTGTAGCTAAAGACTGCATAAGTACTGCAGGAAATGGCCAGAGACTGGGGACATGTTACGGGAGACTGCTACTGTCATCACGTTTGGTATTATCTGTAGCAAGATCTATAAAAAAAAAAAAAAAGGAATAGACATAACAGAAAAGGGAAGACGTAGAATAAATAATCCAAGAGATTAAAGTAGCAAGAAGTCAGTCGAATAAACATTAACATTGGTCTCAGTTCTGGTACTAGCAGTGCAGGTACCATGCTGCATTGATGGTTGGCGCAATCCTTAGAAATAACATGCTGATACACAAAGCCTTTAGTCTTCTCTCCAGTAACACAATAAAATATCTGCACTATATAATTACAGGGAATTTAATACTAACAAGACAAGTTGAGAAAAGCTAAGCTTCCATCTTCATCTTTTTTTATCCTTAAATGCCCCGTGTAGCTGTATCGAAATACAGGCAAAACAAAACAAATTATAAGAATATATCATGCAGTGTCACATGTCGGCTCTATATTTGGGATGAGTGTATTTCACTCTCCCCATAATTCTCCTTCAACCGTAAACTGCAACCATGAGTGTCCAGGTACTACTTCAGCTCTCAATAAATAAAGATACATCAAGGTACAATAAACAGATATTATGTACCTTTACTGGCAATTTATATCCTGACTTTCAGTGTGTGCGTGTGTTAAACTGCAGTGCCCATGCACTGCCTGCTACTCTATTAGTATGTTGGGAATCCATTCACAATGAATGACACTGCACAGCACCACAGTACTACCACAATGAATAGATATAAATGGGCCTATAGATGGGAATAACTCTACTCTCTTTTTGGACTGAAAAAGGCCATGTGCCGATGACGTCACTTTGTATAAAACCAACTTTATCCCAGCTCCATCTATGCCGCACAATCCACATTAAAAATACTTTTATCCTTTTTATCCTTTTCTCATAACGGCATCCAGAGCATATCCTATTCATCATAAGACTTGTAATCAAAGCAAAATCCACAGATAACATTCAACCTTTACGTGACGTCTATAAACACATTTACCCTTTGAAAACACTACTAGTGCAACATTCTGACAACCACCAAGTGAAGTTGTCTGCAACACAATGTAATATCAAAAGCAAATGATCTACTCGGGTTCCTGACAAGGAGTTATAAGAAATAAGTAGTTTACAACACTGACATTAACAAGTGCAGCTGTTGTCTACGTATAGAAGAAGCAATCCTTTTTAAGATTAATATACAAGCTGTCTTCTATAAAACAGCGGTCCTATTTGGACACTTACAGCTGAATTCCTGTACATTAATCATGCTGAAGAACTGCAGTGCTTCATAACATAGAAGGTTAGGCTGCCCCAATTTATAGAGAAAATATTCATACACTGCAAAATATCTCATGTTCTGGGAACATCTTTATATATTTTTGGAGGCTATGGATAGTTTTTACGAGACAGCTTGTGCTTTAACTTATATGGTCCTTTAAACCCTATGCCAGAGAATGAGGTTTATGGGTTTACTAGAAACCAGTGGCACCGTTAAACTACTGGAATCATAATGTGACTTTGAGGGGCTTGCGATGAAATCACAGCCCGCATTATCTCCCCGTAGATTCTGGTCATTATATAAATGCTTCCCATCAACATGAAACAGGTACACTTTAAAAACACTGCAGTTAGAAAACCCAAAATGTTATTTTAGATTCTGGTGTATTTTGGTGTATTGGTGGTCTTACCTTGTAGCCAATCTCTAAAATAATGCAGCCACATTTTGGGAAGCTGTTTGTCGCCCTCCAAAAGAACATACTTGACGGTGGCAAAGCTCTTGTGCAGATCATAAAGCAAGCGCTGGGAACGAGGATAGTCGGCTTTCTGTGTTACCACATACATGTTGTAGAATGAGAAATACTTGAACTGTGCCGCTATGAAATCATACTCCCGAGTTTCCCGAGGAACGATATCTGTGAGATCTAGACCATCTCGAACCCGGGTGGTGCCATACAGGCTGATACTAAGCAAGGCCAAGAAAACAAATATCACCGCTACCTGTAAAAATAACAAAGCAGACAGTCAAATGGCGGAATAGCTGAACAACAAAATTAAGCTTTAGTACAGACTAAAAAGTATGCAAAGATATTACTAAATCCTCATTCTCCCCTTCTTTTATTATTCTGAATATCTCTTTGCTTCAGCATTTGGGCATGCTTACTGCATACTCTATGGCTACTTTGGAATACATCTAACACTTTTTATACCAGTCTAAATATATTAGAGGGACTTTACAGACTATTTTCAATCATTATGTCAATATCTGTATTTCAATATCATCTTATGTAGTTTAGTATAAACCTCTACATTCTCCCTGGATTCAAGTGTCAATGTAAAAATCGTACCTTTTCATATATACTTTTTTATATACTGGATTCTACTTACACCGTTGGTCCTCTGCTTCCTTCCACCTCCTGTAATCACAAAACTCCTAGTACTATTTTCACAGAATTCAAAGTGTTTCATGAATGGAGAAGAGGCAGATGAATGACAGGATCCCTCTCCTCCATTCACAGATTGCTTTGCATTCTGTGAAAATAATACCAGGAGTTTTGTGAATGGAGAAGGAATGGGAGGGCCAGCAGCGTGATCTTTTCACTGTTAGACCCAAGGCAGGTAACCCATGCAGCGCTAGAAGTTAAGCGTTCTGAGGAGATAAGGCATCAGTAAAGGGACAATTATTACAGTAACCAGCCGCTATCAGGAGGTTGGATAGAGTTTATTAACTGTAAGTTATGTTCCTGGTGCTGTATGCCCCAAAACATTTTGCACTATACTTCAGCTTTCCTTTTTTTTTTAATCAAAAAAGCAGCCTGCAAAACAATCATTAATACTCACCTTTCTAGGGAAAGGCGAGTCCTAATTTCACTCTGTTGAAAAGCTAAAGATGGGTACATACTGGTGGATTTTCAAACAAACTTTCGTATGAAAAATTTCATCAGAACACATGATAATGCCATCAGAAACTTGACGAATGTTCTTTGAAATTTCGTTTAATTTTATCATTCAATTTTTCAATGGATGTAGTTTCTTGGATGAAAACATTTTCCTGTTCATTCAGGAAATATTTTCCATCCTTCTCCTTTGATTTTGTCACTACAATTGAAACTGATCGTTGATTTAACACCATTAACTATTAGAAAATTGAACAGATTCTCCAGAAACATATTTTTTTTAACAACATTTAACTGGTGCATGGCAAGCTTAAGGCTGTTGAAGAATGTGCTCTCTAGGGATGTAGGTTAGGTTGATGGAACCGCAGCAGGAAACCAGGCTTCCACCAACCCCAGAAGTGCATCAGATGCAGAAGATTTGGAGACGTAAATATTAATGATATTTAATTTTAGGCTGACAATCTTTATAAATAGAACATATTTCATTTTTATATCTGAACAGTGTCTTTGCATAGGCACGTACCTTTACTTTTGGTTTTAACAAGAATGGGGCATAGTACTTCTCAGCAAATGAGGAAAGAGTCCATTTTGAACAGGAAGGCTCAAGGCAGTGAAAACCAGACTCTGAAAACTGAGTAAGCAGGTCCCGGGTAGAACTTGTGCCTTCTGGTGTCTGACTACTGGAGTCATGGGGTGTTGCGAGAGTCGGCTGGACAGATATTTCCGATAGAGGCTCTGCTGTAGTATAATAAGACTGAGTCCTTGGGTCATATTCTGTCCTCAGCTGGACAGTTGACTGCATGGTGATTTGAGTCTCATGAGCAAAGCTGTGGTTGTTGTAGGGTGGTTGAGGGCTGTAACGTGTATTATCATTACTGTCCAGATAGGCTTGGGGTTCAATCTGAATCACTCTACTGACACAGGGACTAGAAGAAAAAAGAAAAGAAAAAAAAGATATAGCTTAGAACAAGCCAAACAGAAGCTGATCATAAACTAACATCAAATAATTAAACTGTAATGACAGGGCCAACACAACACAAAAATACAACAGATAATTAATGATCTGCCTCTGTAAACCATTTGTTCTTTATGCAACATTTAACATTTTCCCATTTGACTACGTTTACGTACTTGTATGCGTCAAGGTTTTGCTGTGCAACAAGAGAACAAGTGCTGCAGACACGGACTGAAAGCTAAACTCTGGGCACTACAAAACCACAAGGAGACACCCTGTAAAAGACCAAACTATGCGCAATTTTAAAAATGGGAACTTAAGTATCTTCTTCTTCTCAGAGTCCATTTAGACTCAATTCTGTTTACCAAATGCCACTGTGTTGGAGTGTGAAGAAGGCATCCACTACATTAATGGCTAATGACACAATGACATCTAACAAACTGCAAATGATTTATTCATAGTGCAAGCACCATGTTTAAGGATGGGTAGAGAAGATATCCAGAGTGTAGATTTAGATGACGTTTGACTGTAACTCACACACTCCTTATTATGTACAGAGATTTGCAAGAAAAGAGCTGGACGTGTGTTCCCTTTTACCTTTAAATGCAGTTCTCTTTTTGAGAACATTTTTCTGTATTATGCACTGGAGAACTTCTCCTAAACCCTCAAATAACAAAAGGAGACCTGTCACCCAAAAGGCAATCACATAACTGGGGACATGCTAAGCTAAAGCACACCCTTATAGTCTGGCCATACAAGAGAATATGTGACCAATCTAGGGGCACAAAGGGCTCAATGCAGAAATACTGATTCTGTGGGCAAGGGCATAACTGGGCAGAGTACTGTTGCTGAACATTCAAAATAGCTCACTTAGACAATTATCATTTAATGGTGAGGTCAGGACTGAAATATTATTTGGTTGTGATGATTACACTTTCATTTTCCTCCCTTCCGTTTCTGTAAATGAACAAAGTTCTCTGCAAAGATTTACCTGCTGAAACAGCAGAAGATGTCCAGCCTTCGATCCCGTCTTCGATACAGATCCATGCTTAGAATGGCAGGAAATATCAGCAGAACCATGGCAAAGTTGAAGACAACCACAACGGCAGCCTGCAATGACCCAAATCACAGATTCATATAAAATCTTTAGACTTCAGAAGATAACACAGCTTTGCAATGACATTAAACACGCTAAAGGAAAGCAAGTGCAAAATAGGAACTTCATAGACAAATGTTATTTTTCAACTGGACTTGTAACTGTTGGTTTTCCACCCTGTTATGACAGTTCATCCCTTAATGAAAATAATCCAGTAAATTCTATCTTCTAGCTAGACCATAGACAACTGATAAAGATGGGAATAGACTTGACTCTTTGATTATTTCTCTAACCAAGTATAGAAGCTGAAAAAAGAATTCCATAGGGGTGTCATAATGCTTATTTATGGTACCACCTTTCACACCTGTTTGCTATATGTCATCCCCTACATCAGGGGTGGGCAAGTCCAGCTGTGCTTTAACTACAATTCCAAACATGCCTCTGCCTCTGGGACTCATGCCTGTAACTGTTAGTCTTGCAATGGCTCATGGGACTTGTAGTTCTACAACAGCTGGAGGGCCCGAGTTGCCCACCCCTGCCCTAGATATATTGTGTTAGCATGTCGACAATGCTGCATGGATTTATCTACTTTCATTAATGCACATTTCTAAATGAACAAAAAGCAACAAAATACTGGACCATTAGCAATAGCTACAGGAGAAACCATACACATTCGTTTTTCTTTATGAAAGCATCTGTAGAAAGAACTATCTGTATCCCCTAAAGTGACCCATTAGATTTTAACCTGCAAAGAACTCCTGGAGACTGTGGTTACTTTGGAGCAATGCAAACATATTTGTTCCTTTAGACACTTTGATAAATGAGGCCCTGTATATGTTACAGCAACCGATCAGCTCAGATCTGCCAGACTATACAAATCTTTCCTATTTGGTAACACTGAAAGCAGTTGTAGGGTTTCTGTGCTTCAGTGTTTGGAAATCTGGAGCACTCTGCCTGTAACTGATGTCAGAGAAGAATGGGAGGTCTGTGTTAGAACTACCCAGGGAAAAACTAGTATGCCTTCTCAGATGGGGCCCTGCCCAAGGTATGTGTGTTTTCTTTGCCATTCCTGGCAGACCACACAGAGAGAGTGGGTGTACTTGAAGTGATGAGCAGATGAGGATGCCTGTCAGCTCAAGCTCCACATTACAGCTGCTCTTCAGTAACTCCCTTCTTTATCCAGCTATTGTGAAAAGCTTCTTTTTACGCAACATATGACTCCAGCGTTACCTATTATGCATTTAAGACAGAGGTTAGAGAAGGTGACAGGCAATGCTAAGGCAGAAGCCAAAAAAGACGCTGCTGCCATTTTTTTCTTTTTAAAGGTCTGTAGAATAAATAGGAAATAAAATCAACATTATTTAATGAAAATTTGACACTGCAAACAACTAAAAGACACACAAAAAAAGTTTTATATACTAAGTAAAAATACATATCAGCTTCCCTGTGAATGGTGATCATTTTTGAATTTTTTTTACTAAGAAAAATTGTTACCTGGAGCGAGAATGCCCTAAGTGCAGGAATAGGTATCAGGGCTGCCATGAAGAAGGCGGTCACATTGCTGATAGAAGTCAGAGCAACACTAGCTCCTGTCCTTTTAAGACACTCGCCAGTTCTGTCCTGGTAAAGGATGAAAAAACAAACATGGTTCTTTCAAATCACTCACATTTTTACCACTGGAAGCTTCATGTTTTCTAATGTCAAGACTATCAATATGCAACAACTGAACAAATCAGGAATGAGCTTTACCAATTATGTCTAGTGTACCAAACAAAGATCTTTTTTTTTGTTGCCATTGGCCTCCACACATCATGCTATTAAGTGAAGGCCTTGGTGAGTAAAAGCATTGTAAGTGCAGTATTGTTGGTAAGTGATTGTTATAGTTTACTACCAATACCTTCAGTGGCCAATAAGTGAAATCTGGGATTTTAAGGATCACACAACTTTTTGTCTCTTTTAAGTCCTATACTACTTTGTGTAAGAGGGGTGTCTAACCAGGTCCATCAGATTACAGAGTGCACTGGGTAGTCAAGTCAGTTTCTGGTGCCTTTTAAACTGGTTAGTAATTTTTGGACACACTGGTCAAAGAATGATATAGTAGGAAAGAAAAAGGCTATGAAAATGGAAGTTGTCATTACAATGTCTATCTGACTGAACAGCTCTTTCTGCGACTTCAACTGGCCCTAAGGTAAGAGTTAGAATTTTAAAGTGTTTAAAAAACATAAAATGAATTTATCTTATTAACTTCCTTTTGGTCTGCTAAATATACCATTGAAAGCGCTGTGTTATGTTTGTTGAATAAGTGCAAAAAAGAAATAACAGTTGTTCATGCCAGAAATTCAGAACTCTCTTGTGTTCTCTGCACACTTCCTGTGTTATCTCAAGAAGAGTAATTAGCCCTCCCAGTCTTTTTCCTGGTACTACAGAATGTTTAGCCCTTATGTTATAGAGATGGTAGAGTAGGTGGTCTGAGAAGTTTGGCAAGAGAAAACAGGGCAGGTCTGACAACAATCAGTCCACAAAAGGCAGTGTGGTAACTTTTTTTTTCTACTTGCAGAGTCTTTAAAGAGATAAGATATGGAGAAATTGCCCTGAGATGCACTTTAAGTAGTTGTGTTGGAATCAAGTGTTCAGTGTAAAAGTGAGGTTATACAATACTTTGTTAGTTTAGTTAGTTTAAGGATTAACAGGGTTATTCACAAAAGGGTGAAGGGTTTGGAGAAGGCAGCAGAGTTGAACAATCTAGGCCAAAATAGCTGATTTGGATAAATTCTCCAGTTCAGCTCACTTTCCAGCTTAGCTATGTTGTCCCAGATTGTTCACTTCTCCTGTGTTCTCCAAACTCTTCATCCTTTTGTGAATAACCCAGTAAGTGTTTGAGGGTGGATAATTCTTAATATTTTATCTGAATAAATTAGGAGTTCAGGTAGGGTAGGTGAACCTCAGAGCTTAGTTAAAGTTATGTGCATAACACTACCAGCACCTGGTACTTGACACCAAAAACCTATATCTCAGTCTCTGTTTATCATACTAAACGACCAGCACGCAATCAACATGTGCACAGTGTACAATATGCATTGTGCAATTACTAAAACATTTGTTCATTCTAAATTTCTGTATCTAGCTTACCAATTTTAAGCAAACAAGAAATACAGTTTTTACTAATACAGGTTCTCCTGGAAGCTTCTGATAGCGGAATATTTAAAAAGCAGTTAATCTGACATTCATTAAACAATTACTGCAGATGAATCTTCCTGATACATGAACTTTAAATGACATTGATTGATTTACTACCAGAAAATAATTGATGAAAGTCACCATCACTGCTTTATAAATATGCTCCATACTTTTTACTAAGTTAATCTAAAATAAAGTAACTTTTAAGGAGTGTTTGTTAGACTAGGGGTATGATACCTATGATCACTACCACCCCTATAGTCTGGAAATGATTAAGGAATTCTTCCTTCAGTGGCATCTAAATGTTAAAAAACAATGCATGCCTCCTGGAAAAATACCTGTGTGAACAAAGGCACTTCTTCATCTGAAAGATTGTAATTACCTCAAATGGAATCCTTTTATTTTGGCCAGTTTCACTAAATGCATGTGCCAATAGAAATACATCGTCAACACCAACCCCAAGAGCAAGAAAAGGCAAAACCTGTGGGGAACAATGTAGGCAGTCAATGCAGTACGCACGCATACAATCTTTGGCTGTCACAAGTCTATCCTAATCTGACTTCTGAACTTAGATAGATGTCTATTCAAGCTTTTAGCTAGAAGACTATTCTAACATTTGTCTTTTGGTCACTTTAAAGTCTAGGCAGCAATCCTTTAGTGTGAAAAGACAGCAAAATGTGAATATACTAAATAGCAGCAACAAATTTACTTCCCATATTGACAGCAGCATTAAATCAAAGCAATTGGTTTGATTGGACAAAAGAAAGTGCAGCTTAGAAGAATAAAACAGTGTGAAAATCTGCACCTGTACAAAGCATGCATCTAGCCAACAATCTGATTAATACCTGAGTTGTTGCAGCATTAAAGGAAATCCCAATCAATGAACATAGGCCCAATCCTGCAGCCACTGAAAGTGCAATGAGCAAAACTCCAGCCAGCCCCACGGCACCCTGAGACTTGGCACAGTCCCACCTCAGCATGGTTAAACAGGCATAGGCAAGCTGTAAATGAAACATTTGGAAACAAAAGCATACCACATTAGAATGCAACTGGTCACCTCCATCTTTTGGCAGTTTACTGGGGAAGAATGATTTCTTTAACATGCATGTTAACATATTACATGTCCACACCCCATGCCTTCATTTCCCTGCATTTAACTTCCACAATAGACTCAACTCACCATTAGCAAGTACCCACTAGCAACCCTGATGACGCTCACATCGGAGAATGACTTGAGAATGTCTTCCAGTGTTGTTGTGGTAAAAGGGAGAACTTTCTGAGTAGAGTTTTGTGGAACACTTTGATGTACAGCCTAAAAAGGATGAAAAGGATTGCATTATTAGGTGTGAGAGGACATTATTAACACCTTATGGGGTAAAGGAGGAAAGGGAGACCCTCTTAAAATACACAAAACATTGTTATCTGGGTGGTAGGTATCATTTATAGCACAGGAAGACAAACATTGGCCTTCCGGCTGTTGAGGAACTACAATTCCCATGAGGCTTTGCAAGACTCTTACAACCACAGGCATGACTTCCTATGATGGGATTTCTAGTTTTATCACAGGTAGAGGGCCAAAGTCTGGCTACCCCTGATTTACAGTCTTTTAGTAGCCATATATATATGCCTGTTCTCCCACACAACCCTAAAAGCTTCTTCTGGCTAAGTTACTTTCTTTTTAATTTTTGGTAGAGAGGGAAACGTTGTTTGTGGTGTCCCCATAGGGGAGGTCTCCCCTCCCTGTTCAGGAATTCTCTAAAAGATAGAAATATATTTAGTAGAGCAGGGAAGGATAAGAGCCTCTTTCAGGCTTTTCTCAACATTTGTTTTCCGGTTTAGCAGACATCCCAACTCTCCCGGGCGCTGCGGGAGTCTCCCGCTATTTGATAGCGGCTCCCACCTACCCGGGAGAGAAACATTTTCTCCCTGAAAGGTTTACTCTGCTTTATCTGCCGGCCGCCGTCAGTCATAGAAAAAAAAAACAGCATAGGAATGCATAGATAGGCTTCTATTGGCTATTGCAATTTGCAATAGTCACTTTCTGTTCAGGTAACAATGCTGAAATTTCCTCAGTGAGGAAACAGCAATAAAAACCAGACAGGTGATCTAATCCCCTCCACACTGTATCCAGAATAAATACATTTTATTTGCTGGGGTTTCACTCAGTCAAGTGAAGTTTCCATTATATGGAGCCTTATATACTATTATTTTGAGGTATTTTGCTCTTGCCAGTATAAAACCCAATTTATTCACTTATCCCTCACTTACATCCCAGTAAGGCTAATAAAATGACATATAGTATTAGAATTAATAAAAAATAAATGCCATGTCACAGAGCCCTGTGTAGACACTGTTCTACAATGACAAATGGTTGTAATTTTTACTTATTACCTTTAGAACCAAACCTACAGATTTCCATCAGTCTGTAAAGCCTATATTGAAATGCTGGTCACTAGACGAACATAGTAAGCAACGCTAACATTTTCTTTACACCAACAAAAAATATTTTTTGATTGCAACAGCCAAAGCGTCAAACTAAATCCAATGAACAATATCATTTACAGGGTCACAATGGTCTAGAATGATGCAGAACCATTCAATGCCTATTCATCATTCAGCCTCAACACACAGCTCTGCAGTGGCCTTCTATACATGGCCTGGAAGAGGTGTCTTTGTTTTTAATTGGTTGGCTGACTCACAAAGGTCACATGCAATTCAGAAGAAGTCAGTGCCTGGGAAACAAAGGCCAAAAAAAGTCACATGACCTCACCAATGGGACTGCAGCTGTGAACAGATTTTTTGGCTCACTAATGTGTTCCAGACACCTTTTCCTTACAAGTCACACTTTCTCTTTATTTCAGCTCTCTTATCCCTTGCATGTGTCCTATATTAGGAAATATCGCCCTGGCCAGACACTATAAATGCTAAAAAAATACTTTTTGTGCCATTACACATCACGAGATGAGAATAACACATATTTACAGATGCAAGCAGTGCGTAAGTGCGTGCCACTCATGCTTGGCTCTTTTGTCCGATGACAAGTTGATTGGTCAAATGAAAATATACAACCATGACTTATATAGAAATTTAGCTTTATGCTGCACCTATGCAAGAAACTTGTACGAGAAACACTTTAATATTTCATAGATAGCCACACAGCCTATTGATTTTGAAAATACGTAAGCTGCCTTTGCTCTCCGTTTCTCCGTTTGAAAATACTATTTGCCTGGCTGTTATGCTAATCCAAAGGCTTCAATACTTTATGTAACTGACCAGGATCATGTGTGGAGATCAGGTGTCCTGACTTTCCTCTTACTTTAATTGCTGACCTCCTACTGAAAGTTACATGGCTGTTTGTGGCCCAAGCATGCAGCTAGTAAAGGCCTGTTTTTTTTAACTCGGGACATTAGGTGACTTAAAACTCAGATAATATATCCTAAAAATACATTCAAGTACCTTAACTATCAACAAAAAATGTACCTTATATGTGTATTATTTGGCTGTAAATCCTCAAATCATCTCTGAATTGGTGGCGACTTTTGTTCTCCATGGTCCCTGTGTGTGTTGTAAAGTAGTCACTGCTCCAAGCTTGCTCCTGTGATGGACTACAATCATGATACAAATGATTAAACTAAACCTGAGATTGTTGTCCATCACGGGAGCAAGCTTGGAGCACTGGCTACTTTACAACACACACAGGGACCATGGGGAACAAAAGCAGCCACCCTCCAGAAGGTAGGACAGTGTCAGCACCAATTCAGAGATGATTTGAGGATCTACAGCTGAGTGATACACAAATAAGATACATTTTTGTTCATAGTTTAGGTACTTGAATATATTTGTAAGATTTAACATCTGAGTTTAGTGTCACTTTAAGTCAGGTATGGCTTTACTTTACAAGCAGGTATGCCTACCAAACACATGGAATCGTACAGCCTGTTGTATAGGAACAGGTGTTAAGAGAAAGGATGTAGGTGTCTCTAAAATACCTGAGGTTTCCTCTCCTAAAAAAAAAAATCGCACTCTTACCTGAACATATGTCCGCTGCCAGGCCTCCAAAATGGCTGCCGCTTTGTCTTCATTCCAATTCATGTTGTGAACTTCATTGTTATTCTTGAAGTGCTCAAACATTTGCTTGGGAGTCATTAACTGAAACATAGTCTGTAATGCCTGGGCACTGTAGTGTAAGTAAAAAAAAAAAAAAGGTTCACAAATGAGTCCAGATTTACTTTTAGTACAGTCATATTTTATTTTATTAGCGAATCCAATAAAACTTGTAGATGCTCAAACATTCCTTTCTCTAAATGAAGTACGTTTTACAGAAATATAAAATGATACACGACGGAGCTGCAAGTCATTTATTCTCCCCCCTAGTAAAGGAAAAGCAAAAAGGTCAGTATCACACATCTTAAGGTGCCCATACACTGCACGATTATCGTACGATAATCGTATGCGATCGGTTTTTCGTACGATAATCGAGCAGTGTGAACGGAGACGTGCGACCGTTTCTACTGTACGGTCGCACGTCTTCTGTCGAACCAGCATGTTCGAAAACCAGCCGGGAATCGTACGATTCTCGGCTGGTTAGAACGGTGCTCGGAAGATAAATGCTGAACGGGCCGGTGTGCGCACGCGCACACTGCCCGTTCAGCATTGCGGTCATCGGAAGCCCGCCCCTCAGGGGGGCGGGCTTGCGATGATCGAGAGTGCGATCTGCCTGTCCAAGATAGGCAGGTCGTACGTTTTTTTAATCCCTTTACAACCATCGCAAGACTAAAGTCTTGCGATGGTTGTAGAGTGTATGGCCACCTTTAGAAAACAAGCCTTCACTTTGCGCTGCCATGCCTAGAAACCTGCCTGCAATCACTAAATATTTGGCTTCATTGGAGAGCAGTACCAGACTAAACTCTTGACACTCTGCAGGAATCCGGGAAGTACACAAATGGTGATTATAGTTTAAACAGACGTGTGCAAGTCTCTCTTCTCTCTCGTTAACTATGCAATCACACCACATTCATATAAATGTGTATTCATGAAAGCCAATTTAGATACATGTTTGTAACTGATTAGAAAAGCAAATGTTGCAAGTTTCCATCCAGTTAGGTCATACCATGAACCAAAAAAACAACCACAATCCCGTTCAACGTGATTGGATGTGATTATTTTTATTTAAACAAACTTTAAAAAGAATGCTTGATGCCACTTCAGAGATACCAGCCTGGCGCAAAAAGGCATATTAGTTGGTATGTCTATAGAGGAGAGGCTGATGAAAGTGTGGTCCCTGTTATGCTGGGCATACACCTTACAACCATCGCAAGACTTTTGTCTTGCGATGGTTGTAAGGTAATTAAAAAAACGTACGATCTGCCTATCTTGGACAGGCAGATCGTACTAGCGATGATCACAAGCCCGCCACGCAGAGGGGCGGGCTTCCGATGACCGCAATGCTAAACGGGCAGTGTGCGGTGGCGCACACCGGCCCGTGCGGCTTTTAGCTTACGAACATGCCACAAAGCAGCCGAAAATCGTAGGATGTTCGGCTGGTTTTCAAACATGTTTCTAAGGTAAAAGTCGTGCCACCTTCCGGTAGCAGAGGTCGCACGCCTTCCACACACCTTGCGATAATCGTATGATCGCGGGATTTCCCGCGATTATCGTACGATAATCGCAAGGTGTGTAGGCACCTTTAGGCTGCTAACCAGCTGGTATTTCAAAAAACCCTGACCCATTCACTATGGTATGGAGTAAGAAGTAGAAAGAAGCTGTTCACTTTACAAAATAAGTTTCATTTTGCATGGAAAGTTTCACTTGGTTTAGTGAATGTGGTGAAATTTCAAACACATGCAAGGAAAAGAAAAAATAACAGAAGTTTTGCTTGCACATGATTGGATGATGGAAATCAGCAGAGATTCACCTCATTCACTAGGCTAAAGGAAAATTTCCTTGCAAAGTGAACAGCCTATTTGCCTTTAGCAAATCAACCTCCGCGAGTCTATCGCTAGTGGAGAGCAGAGTGGATACTGCTTACTACTGTAGTTTTTACTCCACACTGTGGCCTGCATTTTACTTGCCATTTATAAAATGCAGGTCTGCAGAGCCCGATGAGTTTTCTCTGCTTACTGCTGCAAAGAGAACTCTCTGATTGGAGGATAAGCCAGTCACATCATTAAGACAGGTGACGTGATTGGGCTCTTCTCCTGGCTTTGTTCACTCATTTGAATGGTGATCTGCCTGCTTTGGATTTCCAGATCAAGTAGAGCGCCACTGTGCTTTATGCATGTGCATTTTTTAAACCATCATCATCAATAAGACCATACTGCTGATTATTTAACCCGAGGTGAGTTATTTGTTCCTACAGAGGATGTTGCATTAGACAAAGAAATGACCTAATTATATTATTTTTAAATTTTTTTGCTAAAGTGTATGCATAGCCAAAACTTTATTTTTAGTTTTGCACAGAGTAGGGAAGAGCAAACACCCCTATCGGGTTATCTTTTGCCGTCTGTATCCTGCTAAGTAGATGTCCCTTCACTTCCTGTCCAGGAACAGAAAATTAGAGGTAATCACACCAAGGTGAGGGGAATTTCAATCTTAGACAGTTGTTTCTAAAATTTTGGAATGCCCCTAACTTTCTGTCTCAGTGATAACTCTGCTCTGATGCAGAATTAAATAAAACTGGTAAACTATATAACGAGAGGGCTCATTTTCATTGTCGCTTCTGCAACAGGGTTAGCCAGTCTACATGCCTGGTATACCCGGCTTCTATCTCGCAATGTACAGGCGCACAGGCTCTTACCTGATAAGTTTTCCACTAGCATTTTTAACAGTGCCACCAATGATCAGCTCCTCTTGCCAGTGCATGTATTTTCTTGAAAGGCCATAACATCCTCCACTTAAGACAAGGGCAACATCTAGAGGCTGAAAGGAAGTTTTTTTTTTAGAGAGGTGTTAAGCGTTAAGAATTATAAAGCAATCCTAAAATGGAATAAAACTTTAAAAATCTACCTAGCTGAAAAGCCCCCCAATAAACTAACTATATTGATCCATTTGAGCACCATCTTCCCAACATGTTTTGGGTAAAAGATGACGATAAAAAGTAGGGGAATACATATTATTTTGTGTTTTTTTTAAATCACCATCACTTAAAATCTACATTAAGCCTAATGATGATCTTCTCCGATTTGCTCTCTTTTGGTCAGTTAGATACATAATTGAAATCATTCTGTTATATCAGTTCAATAAGAGATAAAACACATGTTGAGTATCTTGTGAGCTGATAATGTCCTGTGTTCTCCGGTTGTGCACAAGGAGGGGTTATGGAGAGGAGGATGGGGGAGAAGATTAGGAGAGGCCTATGTTCTTTGTAATGTAGTAGGCAGCGCTGACACCATGTGCTTAGAAATTAAGAGCTCAAAATACACTGTGTTGTCAAGTCAGAGGAAGGTAGGAACACACTACATTTATGGCATATCAACAGTAATTGTTTTTGTACTTGTAGCGTGTTTAAAGGGATAAAACAAGGGGAAATATGCATGTATTCCAGACATGTATGAAATGAGTTGTTTTTTTATTTTGCTTTGCCCTGACATATGCCATGGTAATATATATATATTTATTTTTCCTATACCTTAAATTGTGCTACTAACTATTAATAATTGAATCATTTAACATTTTGTCTGTAACATGTAACATATTCCAGTAGCTGATGAACTCACTTTGGTTGAATTTTTGTTGGGTGCTGTAGGCGGACAATCCGAATCTAATGGGTTGAGACAGGGGCGGTCCATGTAGCCGTGACCAACCTCAGCCTTATTTAGCATTTCCTCCCAGCTGTCTACTTGGAACTTATCTCTCTTCAACTCCTGCAGCAAGCCCGTGGGGTCAAAGTTTGTCCATTGCAAAGTGGGTTTACCTCTAAAGAGAAGTCAGAGTGAGCCAAAAATGACAACATAAAATCTGTTCTCTGGTCTGGCTGCTCAGAAAGAATGAAAAGAAAGAGGCAGAGTGGGAGGTAAAGAACACAACTAATGATGACAAGTTTATATCTGTGAGAAAGTAATATAAAAAACAGTAAAGTCAAGCCAAGAAAATACTTATTTTTTTTCGCTGAGTTTAACAAACTACGGAGCCTGATGACTTGGCAATCCCCCCTACAGCAGTGGCTATTGCTGCTCCAACAGAACTGGCACATTTTAAGCTTCAGTCAGGCATGTGACAAAGGCTTTTTGGCTGCCTCGTTTTGTCATCTATGCCAAACTGTATTTGCCCAACCAGGCTTAAGTCATTATTTCAAATCTTTCAGCTACAAAAGTAAAAGCGCTCCACGTTCTCCTTTGGGACTGTACATTGTAGCACAGGAGATGGCCATTGCAAATTGCTTATTTTCAGAGACAAGCAAACCGGGACATGAACAATTACTCAGACACGAACTCTTGCATAATTACCAAGAAATGCCTCCTCATGCCAAATGCACAAAACAATTAACTCTTTGTTGCATCAAGACTATGAAATATAAAAGTTGCTCAACTGTAAAATCCAAGATGGGAATGAAAATGGCATTTGTTTGTTTCATTAAACAAATGGAATAAAAAGAAACCCTATTGTTCATGCCCCAAATGCTATAGGCTTTACCAGTGTGTTCCCAAGCACAGGGTATACAACACTCCCAGCAAGTCTGACACAGAAGAAAGAATACAAGGATTCTAGTCCCAGACATTAAAAATATCAGCCTAATCTGTACAATCCAATTCATTGTACAATCCAATTACAAAAAATAATAATAATAAATAGCTGAATGCTTACGGTAGATATGCCATTCCAGCCTGAAGTTTTGCTCCTTCCCAAAAGCAGTCCAAAGGTGTGAGGATTAAACAAGGGTATAGTGATTCGATGATCTGAGAAAGAAATCATTCAACAATATTTTTCTAGTTAGTATCCTAAAATATATTTCATACCCACAAAGACTGAACAAAAAAAGAAAGATGCCCGTTAAGTTTAACCCACGGGGAAAAAAAACTACTAATAATAAAGGTTTACCAGTACACAGCAGCAGTGATCCTTCTAAAGCAGAGTCCCACAATCTTTGTCAGTTTTAGACGTTACATATGTTCTTGGCACGGGGGCTTGCCTGAATACTGTAGCTGTAGTAATGCCCTACTCCCTTATAGAGTGTGTCCTACACTAAAGCCCCTTAACATTTAACTTTCCCTTTCTGCAACACTTAAAACCTTACTCCTAAAAATAAGCCCTTATTACTTATCCCCCCACACTGCTACTAAACATTAAAAGTGAGCTCCTATTCCCCAAACTTAACCCACCCCTAAAAATGTAACCCACCTTCTACCCAACCTTTAACCTTACCTCTAAAGTAAGCTCTAAACACTTAACCACCCCTCCAAACACCCAAAACCTAAGCCTAACAATAACCTAATCTCTGGCCTAAACCCAAATACTAGTTAACCTTTACTGAGCATACTCATCTCAACTTCCACCAGGAACCTGCTTGAGCTGAAAGCATGCAAGTTCCACACCAAAACCACACATTCTGGCCCTAATATGAAAGGATCTAACAATGAGGTAATCTCAGAAAGTATTAACAAAAACTTTAATAATAATGGGATAATATAAAAGGTTACAGTTCTGACTTGACGTTATGCTTATAAGAACTATACATTGAAATGAGCTAAGACAGATAATAGGCATATGCTGGCAAAATGTAACTTCAAGGTTAGCTGGCACAAGATATTGGTTTGTGTCCACTATTATAGAGCCTTGACAAGACCTGAATTAAATTCTTCTTCTTTATATATTAAGGTCATAACAAAATAATTCCCGAATGATACCTCTCAATATACCTATTCATGTGTAAGTACATTGAGAGTTATCTTTTTAAGTTGGAATTGTATTCCTTGCAGGGTATACATACTTGGCCTAATAAAAGCAGATTCTGACTCTGAAATACCAGAACACATCCAGAAGACATTTCATGTCTGAGTATATGTACAGTATCGATATGTACAGTATTTACCTGGTTCAAAAAGCCGGTTTCTGTGATTAGTTCTCCTGATTTAAAGCACAATTTTTCTAGTTTCCAAGGCCTATAAAGAAACAGAAATAGAGAAGACAATTAAATTCTTATTTAAAATATAAACCTCTTAATTTGTTTATATGCATTACATACTGTAGTTCCACAGTCAGGGTTAGGGGATGTAAAACAAAGCTTGCACAAAGTTGGTAAAATCTAGAAGCCCAATTCAATCTTTAGAGAGATCTCCTCTGACTTCCTGCTGTGTCTCAATTCAGGGAGTGAAGGAAAATCTCACTAAAAGGGACACATACAGAAAAATGGGGTTTTAAGTATTACATACTCTATCCTAAACCTAAAAAAATAACTTTGGTTTTAGATACAGTTACTCTTGGTGACACCAATGGCTAGGTATCTCTACTAGAGCTTCCAGATCTGCTGCAGCCTCCACAAGAAGGTCTCCTGCTTCATATCATATATGTATTTTATATTATGGAGAATGCATTAGGAAATGCAATGTTTCAAGTTCTACAGCAGGAGTAGTGAAGTGACTTTTATAGTGTAGTTAACGGAGTATAAAAGAAGCTGGTAGGTGAATGAACTTGGCAGCATCTACAGGAAAATTAAATATCTGGGCTTGATTTACTAACCCTTTAATAATTGCGTACCTCAAGCACAACAAGCTTACTTTTCAGTCATACAAAACAAAAACATGAATATGTAACCAAACCATGATTAATTTTTTTAAAACAAGCAAACTTGATCAACATTACATTGTATTATATAGAGAATATCTGGAGATTGACATTTACTTGTTATACATGAAGACTTGCACCTTGGTGGCTTCAAGTGCTGAGTGAAGGTGTTGCTTTAGAGCGTCAATCGTTAGGACATTAGCACCATTCTCTAGAGGAGTCTGGATCATGAGTTGTGGATTAAACATGGCTTCTTCTCCGATCTTCTGCCGAGTATAGTTTAGCTCCCGGCTGACTCGTCCACCAACTGGCAAAAAAATTGATTTTCAGGTTAACTTTGGTATCCACAAATGAAATCTGAACTAGTGTTGAGTGTCTGTAAGACAGCACTGGGTAGTATATCTCCAGCTGCTATTAAACAGTAATGTATTTGTTCCATGGAAATGCATTTTTGGAAATAAGTGTAACGTTTTCCTTTACACCCCAGAAAATGAATGGAATATACATGGTAAAACATGGACTTTAGATACAAGCCTAACTGTTGACTTCAGTGTGCTGGCCTATGAAGGACTGGTAGTTTACATTAGGGTTAGGGCTCTATTAAATTAGTCCTATCTATGCTTTCTGTCTGAAGCGGGCAGAAAAATCTAGCATAAACAAATTAGAGTTTATGGACATATACCATTTAAAGGTTTATGTACATAAACACATTCTAGTGGCTAGAATAAATTAATATTCTAACCACTAGAATGAATTTAGGCAAATATGTGCATAAATTATGCCAGTAAGCTCCTCTTCGAATGCAGATTTTATTTTTTAAGGCCCTAAACACTGCTCAACAATATGGATCTAAGTGCCACAATGTGCATGGACACATCAGTTCAAATAGAGCTGCGTTCAGAAGCTTTAAAAAAAATTAAAATAAATGAAAAATGCCTCTATAAACGTTGTTTTTTCTTCCATATGCATGAGGACTTGGGGTGATCCTAGTACACATAGGACCTAATGTAGCCTTACTTGAGTTATTTCCACAAGGCCACCAATCAGATTCAGACTTTTGGGGCAGAGTTTATACTTATTGCTTGGCTGAGAAGCGTTAAGTGTAGTCACACGCTGATATGTAAGGCCCATAGGGACGTCATATGTGTACAGATCTCCCATGACAGCCAGTAAAATGTGAAAAGTTGGAAAGAATTGTGACATAAAGGAAAACAAAGATAATCAAATGTTACTGCGAAAATGAATACACAGCAAATATGTCATAAAAGGTAACATTTCATGTTAAGTGATGCAGCTTTCCTACTGAAATGTACCGGAGACATTTGAACCACCATATACTATACAACAGTAATAACTGTAAAAGAAATGGCTTTAATAACGCTTAAAGCTTAATTCTACCCTCTCCCCAGTCTAAGACTTCCATATAAGACTTCCATATGGAGAAACTAAATCACCTTAAGCAGGCTTTCCTTGTAGAGCAGACTGAACATTTTTGTACAATTTCTTGCACTTGTATAAACAGTCAGCTCCTATAGCACATTTCACAATCAATGGCTTTTATGTATATACATCCGCACTCCAAAAAATTGGCAGCGTTAGAGCAATTTTCCCTTGCACCAACATTACAAAAGCTGGGCTTGGCAACAGAAAGCTGAAGTAACTAAGCCGAAAACCTTTTTTTTGTACTTGGAATGCTGATATCTTTTTAATATTTGGGCCCACTTTACTGAAGAATGAAACCAGTTCAATAAAGCTGCACTCCAGGCAAGCAGATAAATACACAATTTAAATACTTACATGCAAATGGTTCTATCCGCTGAAGAACTTGTAATTCTGTCCTGTCACTTTTGTGACCAGGCACTATGACCTATACAATTATGTCCTGGACCTCCACTGCAGTGACAGCACCTTTTGGTCCAGAACACACACCCCGCCAACAGATAGGACAATATGGGCCAACGGCGCTCTGCTCTATCCTCAGCATGTGCAATGCCACAAAAACTGATTGGCTCCTGGTGTTGGTGCATCTTCTCTTATGGTGCGACTGTACAGGGGAAGAGGAGGATATCAAGACACATTTACATACTTCTACTAGTTGCAATGAGCCTGGAGCAGCAAAAACTAATCTGAACTGTCTCTGCTGTTAGTACATAGGAGGCACCTCCAGGTACGTTTCCCCCACTTCAAGTTTGCGTTGGTGTTTTTTTTTTATAACTACACTGATTGGTATTTTTATATCCCATGGAGTTGAGCTTTAAATATTTAAACTGATATGAGTACTTTGCTTTTGTTTCATGAAAAGTATCCCCTTTACCAGCATCCTACTCATTTTCAACATATTTTAATACAGGTGAATTCTTTACTATGCCAGTTTATCTAGAATTGTCTTCTGCTTATTTTGTTTACCAATTTCTACATTATTATTATTATTATACAGGATTTATATAGTGCCAACCGTTTGCGCAGCGCTTTACAATATAAGGAAGACATTACAGTTACAATACAATTCAAGACAAGATGGTAAGGAGGGCCCTGCTCGTGAGGGCTTTCTACATTTAGACATTGTAACCTTGCATAGCATAGACAAAACATTTAGTGCCAATCAGGATGAAGTGCAATTGAACAAAATCCAGTAGCCTGACCAATCTCTGTGTTGGCCCCTAATTGTTGATGGAAATATCATGGTGACATGTAAGTCACATGAACTAATAATAATAACTTATTATTAGTTATAACTTATTCACTAAAGTGAATAAGTAGTCACATGCACAAATACCATTAGTATTATTCACTGCACAGACCACCCTAAAAGAAGACCTGTACTGAGAGTCACACAGGGGCTGACCCTTTTCTAGAAAATATTAGTTGCCTGGCTGTCTCTGGCTTCCATACTTTCTAGGTCACCGATAATGCAAATGAGGAAGTTAGTGTCAAGTCAGAGCTGGCAATGTTTGTACATGTTCAAGGTCGGTGCTTGAGAAAGTATTAAAGCCATTGTATCATCATTACATTTAGGCAACTAGCATTTTTTTAAAGAAAGAACAGCACTGGCAGCTCTCCATAGTTGAACAAGTTTTATGTTCCTCCTGTCCTATATGAAACGCACATAACAATAAAAATTAAAACATAATTATTTAACTGCCATGAATGAAAAAAGAGAAACGCTGGTCTACACTAATGTGGTACCCCTTCTTTAATGTTGTACCCCCTCTTTAATGTGCTCCTGTGGCCAGACTATGGATATTATACTATTTACATATTCTTAACAAGCACAAAAAGAGCATTAAAGCCCATTTCCTGCCTTAGACATGATGTCAGGGAGCCTTAGTCCACTGGAGCCCAGGAAGAAGAGGCTGCAGGGACTAGTCTAGCAGCCCCAAGGAAGCTGAAAGGTGCAGGGATAAGGTAAGAAAATCTAGTCCCCCTGCCCCCTCCCCCAAAAAAATGAGCACCTAACCCTTGCAGCATGGGAGCCCTAATGCAAAGGTACTTTTTCTGTTTGCCCGGAGACAGCTTTAAAACAAGTCCTCACCTCTCTAGCTGCATGTACCGTGAAGCTATTAATTCTCTCTTGAGCCTCTGTCCAAGCTTCTAATGGAAGGTGACGCTGTCAGTTAACAAAGCCTTTAACCCTATTTCACATATTCGTTCCAGAGCTTTTGTTATATAATCTCTGCTATCAGCGTTAGACATTACCGGTAGATAGAGAAGCCTTACTGCCTAATACTTAGCAAGATACTACCGTAAGTAAATAGTCAATAAGGATGTAATCCCTAAGGAGGAAGGACTGTGCTGCTGTAACAATCTAAAAGCGGACATTAAAATGACTACAAATCCCCATTAATTACTTATTTTTTCACGTCCCCAATCTTCATTAATTGAAATGTTCTGCATTACTGTGTTGTTCCCTTCCAATTTGTTAGGCTGCTGTGCGGAGGGTCTCTTATTTTCTTTTAGGCTGAAGTAAGTGCATCAATAGCCAACAAAGAGAGGGCAAGATTTTTTATTTCAAGTCAAAGCTAAAAAGTGGATTTCACTTTAAAGAAATCTTATATGAAACTGTGATTTGGAATTGGTGACCAGGGTGACCAGGGCGTTGAAAGAACATGAATGCAGACCACCCAGACCAGAGGAAATGAAAATACGAGGGATGAAAATACAGTAAAACACAAGTCTCCCCATTCTTCTTCAGGATTCCTAGCCAGATGCTTGTTATGCCATCTGTTGTTACCTAAAAGGATTCCTATTGAAAATCCTTGCAGTGAAGCAGAACTGCTCTCACTGTCAGAGACAATCAGGTCAGGTCAGCACTCCCCCAGCATGAAACTGCTGCCTGTCATAGCCCTCCCCATCTCCATATTTCTTACATGCCCACCAGTTCCAAACACAACATTGGACCTGTCATGCCGTCGATTTTTCACTGGATACTTAAAAGGCTCATTCAGAAATCTCAACACACAAACAAGGAGCTTGATGTCGACTGCATTTAGCAACCCAACATATGCGGGTTACTTATACCATCTATAAAGTGGCTTTTTTCCCTACCGAGCTTTTACCTTTAAACAGGGCAGGACAACTCCCAGGAGCTAGGTAGCCAATGCTCCATAAAAATTACAGCTGGCTCCTAACTTTTTCTCTAGTTGTTGTCAATGGAGATGGCTCCCTAAAAAAAATCCTGCTGTCTCCAGGATTGCACAGACTGGCTCCTGAATTCCATATGCATTTGTCCAGCCTTGCCTTTAACTTTATCCAAGATAAATTCATCTGGAGAGCAAGACAGCAGCTTATCTACAACCGCTCATGTAGGTAAAACAACATGTTAATTGAAGCCCACAGCCTGAAACAGGTGCCATTTTTTGGCACAGAATCACACTGCCAGCGAAGTATGAAGGAAAATATAACCTGGGAGAAATCCTAACCCCCTTTCACTGTGGATATTGCATAATGTTAACCCCACTTCTGTTGTCTTCACTTTTTGTAGGGCTGACATCACTTCATGGCGCTGAACCCTTCTCATTATGCAGCCTGCTCTCCTTTCATTGGCTTCCCACTTGAGGCCGCATGGGGCAAAACACAAAAGAAAGCCCCCGGCTTCACAAAGGCTCCCCAGCATCATACTGCACTGATTTATACCCAGCCCCGTTCCTTCTCTGCATCTGTGCAGAGAAACACACAGCACTGGGGGCCACTTTCATGATTTTTGTTGCGATCAGGATTAGCTGGATTAGGGCTTGATTCATAAGGACCCCCTGCGGCCCGTGAGGAAGTTTCATCACAAGGTCAGTGTGGTGTGAACTATATTCTGTC